CTTCAAATAGGAGCCATGGGTCCAGGAGGGTCCCCTGATTATGCACCAGTTCCGATCAGAGAAGTGCACCCCATCCAGAACTAAAGATGAAAATCTCCAAGATCTTGCAGCCCCCAAACTTCAGCCACTCCGTCTTACCTATTCCTCCCCATCCAAACCTCCCACAGCTTCCAGATATAATCCTGAATTTCAGTGATCTTTTGTAAACAGTAAATTTAGATTTCCCTCCCTTGTTAAAGGCTTTGGTTTGGATGGGAAAAGTATCAGAGCTGTGCAATGAAAAGTCCTGTACAAGGAAATAATCCTTGTGGGGAAGTGGGGAAATGATGGAAAAATGCATTTGGAAAGTGATGCCACTAATGATAAATGATTAGAGTATAAAGCCAATGGAAAGAACTAATACATATGTTCAGAATTAGAGCCAACTTCCAACAAGTTCTTTTCAGTTAAGCTTACAGAAAGAAATGTACATAAGCTAGATTCTTTGAGGGGGACTTGGTGACCACATAGTTACATAATATGGACAAATAGAAAGTGAAAATGGCAAATGACATTTGGAATTACAGTCTTACAAAGAACATGAAATTCTGCAATTATAAACATTATTAACAGCTGTAACTCTTAGAGACAAAACTATGGGGATGAAATCTATCAAACACAGTTTTATTAAATTAACATTAAGCACAGATCCCTGAGTTAACAGTGCCTATAAAGTTACTGTTGTTCTGATTCTTCCAGACAGCTTAGCTTATCTGTTTGTTTTTTCTGGCATTTTTACAAGGAGGATGTGCTATTCATTTATGTGCAGTTTGTCTTAATCTAGACTTTCACTGATCCTACAAATATTCACAACACTGTGCAAAGTCAAATTCTTTTTTAAATTGCCTGAAATAGCTGGGGGGGGGGGAATCACCTTTGCTTAAACTTTGAAAAGCCTAGCACGCTTGTGGTACAGCTGCATTAAATATCTTGCATGCTAGCTTCAACCTTCTCTGACATATCTTGATCTTACTTCTTCATACTGTAAATCCAGAAGGCAGAAGAGCAAGCTATCTTAGAGATTCTGCATCCATGCACTTAAAAATATGTAATGGTGAGGAAAGGGAAATATTAATTTTGCTTGTGATTAGCATTTATACAGCCATGAATTCCACTAGGGTAAAACATCCATGTCCAGAATAATTCATGATGACATCTTTTTACATCTTGTATGTGCCCATATCTATATCTCCATGTTCAAACAGTTTTCATAAGAACTACTAGACTTTGCAAGGATTAAATTTAGTGTACTGTTTTTCAAAAGGACTTGGACAACAGTCTTACTGGGATTTCACAAAGTTCTGGATAGATTGCCTAAATAAGCACATTTGAGGTAAGGAAGAGTTTGGCACCAGTGAATTATTTACAGCTTTCTAAAGAACATTTCTTTTCATCCTTTGCCAGAGCCCAGAGTGCAACAAATACACACTGCTACCATTAAAAGCAACTTGACAAACATACAATAGACTCTAGGTGATGTTTACAGTCTTAAGGAACAAGCGAACATAATGGCATCTACGCATAAGCAGAAAAGCAGACGGAAGGCAAAACTCCTTCCTGGAGATTTGGTCTTGTCCCAATAATTTCTGAAGTGTTGTAGTAGGTTAACCTAGATTTAATTAATCAGAAGGTTATGGCCAATGACACATTACATGCAAATGCATGTAAATTAGCCTCAGTAGCCACTTTTTGTAAAGGAGTATTATTTTGAAAGGGATGATTTAGGGTATAGAGTTATAGGAAAAGATGCAGTGAAGATACCTAATCCTTCAGGTAATAGGGTTGTATTTTTTAAATTGCAGTTAAATGTGAACTTATTCTAATTCTGCATTTTCAAATATATCATTCCCCCTTTAAAATTCACAGTTCTTTGAATATTGCAATGCAGTTTTCCGATTGAAAAGGAAAAGTCTATTAGACAAGGTACTGAAATTTGCAGAAGATTGATGGGTTTTAACCCTTGCAAATCATGAAGAGCCACTAGGCTGCATTTTAGCTTCATGTTCCATTAGGCTATGGGAGCATTTCCACATGCTAAGTCTGAAAGATGTTCTTTCTTTCTTCAAAATAATTACATGTAGATGGATGGGGGTGTAAGAAAGGAAGATGCTGTTGAAAGTGCCTGAATGGGCGGAAAGCATAAATTGGCTAAGACAGAGGCAGACAAGCTAGAGAAGCTGCTCATTGCTTCAAGGGGCATGAAGTTTACCTAGAAATCTGATGGGAAACAGAGTATATGCTGGTTTGCTGTTCAGAAATGGGGTGCATGCTTGTAATACCCTGCCTTTTGCTTCACAAAAATTCTTCAGAATAACTAATAGTTTTAAATGGAATTGCAAAAAGCATGTTTTAACAAGGCAGTGAAAGGATCACAGTGTAAATGACCTGGATTCCTTTGGCTGTCACTTATAGTATCCCTTACTATGGGCCACTCTGGTTGGATTATCAAGAAGATGGACGCTGTCCTCCTAAACAAATATAAATAGTGACTCCTGGCTTTTCCTGGTAGCTATGCTGCTATATAGCAATGGAATTTCCCCCTTGCTTTGTCACAGATATATATATATATATATATATATATATATATATATATA